TGTCTCAGGCGAGGCGCTGGTTTCAGTACTCCCATGGAGGGGCGCAAGGGGGTATATCACAGGCCCGCTCGCGCCCAGATTGGGGGGATGTCTAAGGCAGTTTGCCACTCTGGGTGCCCAACATCCTTCTCGTTCGGAGCAGTTTCCGAGGCAGTTTCCGAGGATGCCTCAGGCGAGGCGCTGGTTTCAGTACTCCCAAGGGGGGCGCTAGGGGGTATATCACAGGTCCGTTCGCGCCCAGATTGGGGGGATGTCTCAGGCGGTTTGCCTGTTTGGGTGCCCACCATCCTTCTCTTTCGAAGCAGTTTCCGAGGATGTCTCAGGCGAGGCGCTGGTTTCAGTACTCCCAAGGCGGTGACGCCAGGGGGTATATCACAGGCCCGTTCGCGCCCAGACTGGGGGGATGTCTCAGGCGGTTTGCCACTTTGGGTGCCCAACATCCTGCTCGTTCGGAGCAGTTTCCGAGGATGTCTCAGGCGAGGCGCTGGTTTCAGCACTCCCAAGGGGGGACGCCAGGGGGTATTGCACGGGCCCGTTCGCGCCCAGATTGAGGGGGTGTCTCAGGCGGTTTGCCTGTTTGGGTGCGCAATGTCCTTCTCTTTCGGAGCAGTTCCCGAGGATGTCTCAGGCGAGGCGCTGGTTTCAGTTCTCCCAAGAGGGGGGGGGGGGGGGCCAGGGGGTATTGAACGGGCCCTTTCTCGTCTTCACGGATAGATTTTCCTGACAGGTATTCATAGGGAAAGCAGGAGGAGGAGGAGGAGGAGGACGGAAGGAGGAAGCAACCACTCAAAGTCGTCGTAGTCGGCGGCGTCTCTCTCGGCCTCGTTTTCCACGTGGATTCGATGACACTCGGAAATTGAAAAGGACCATGTCTTCTACCGAAGTTTGACATCACTATAAGATGCACATATGGGGATCTCCGCGTCGAGTAGTTCGTAAGATTTCTGATGGATGTAGGGGGATGCAAGCAAAACACCGCATTGTGGTTCCCGTGTTGTCCGTTCCCTTCTAGAGGCCTGACAACGCAATAATGCAGTCACGATACGGTTGGCTCCAGATACGTTCTGAGAGTTCCAGAGCTTCTAGCGGCCCTCGGCCATTCGTACTCGACCACTTCTTTCTGGCCGCACGGAACAACATGGAAACCTGGAAATCCTGGCAGGCATCGCTATGTACCTTTACTGGTCGCTCCCCTGCGACAAGTCCATTTGTCCCACTGGAGCATCATATATCCGACCCCCATCCCATGCGGCGTGGCCCGGGCCCCACTGGCCGATCTGCCCCCCCTGAATGGGGATATTAGGCCGTCCACTTCGGGTTTCGACGGGTGTATCCTCAACTGGGGTGGTAGTTTGGTGGGGGTCTCGAACGGGATGAGGATGGGGATGGGGATCGGCTCAGTACTGACCCACGACCTCCGACGAATCGACATCTTCCAACCTCGGGGCCGCGGCCCCCCCTCGACCTCTTCCGTGGGCCCGGCTTCCCGACCCCCCCGAAGCGCTCTGCCGAAGGCCCGTGGGCCCTTGGTCAGGGCCCGCGAAGAGCGCCGGAAGCCTCAGAATCCGTAGTCAGAGGGAGGAGGAGGAGGAGGAGGAGGAGGAGGAGGAGGAGGAGGAGGAGGAGGAATATGGAGATGAGGAGGAGGAAGAGGAGAGGAGGAGGAGGGAGAGGAGAAAGGAGGAGGAGTAGCAGGAGGAGAGAGGTGGAGGTGGAGGAAGAAGGATGAGGAGGAAGGAGAATAAGGAGGATGAATGGGGAGAGGAGGAGGAGGAGGGGGAAGAAGAGGAGGAGGAAGGATGAGGGAAAGGAGGAGGGGGAGGAGAAGCTTTTCTCTGGAGGTCTGGGTCGAAGGTATGGGGCCTTGAGGTTCGCTGCGCCCTGGTGCTCCTCTCGCACGAGACATCGGGCCCCAGTGCGGCGCGGGATTCGGGAGGAACTTGGGCCTGACCTTGCCCGTCGGCTTCGCCTGCGCAGGAAGCGGGAGCGTGAGAGGGAGCATGACCAGGAGGAGGAGAAGGAATGGAGGCGGAGGAGGAGGAGGAGGAGGAGGAGGAGCGAGGAGGAGGAGCGAGCGAGGAAGAGGAGCGAGGTGGAGGAAAAAGAGAAGGAATGAGGAGGAGGGGCGAGGAGGAGGAGCGAGGAGGAGGAGGAGGAGCTTGAAGAGAAGGAGGAGCATGAGGATATCTACGAGGAGCGGTTGGGTTACACGTTCTTGACGCCAATACACAATAATAGACATCGGTCAAGCGAAAGATCCAGCATGAACCGTTGAAGACGCGGAGCAAGCACCCTCGCTCCATCTAGAGTTTAACTCTGACGATCGAGCAGCAGCATGAAGGGAAGGTGAGAATGAGCAGGAGGAGGAGGAGGAGGAGGAGGAGGAGGAAAAGGGGGAGAAGCCTCCTCCGTCCACTCGAAGGCGGCCCCCAGCTGCACCGCCTTCTCGATGACACGAGGCAGCGGCAGTGCCTTCGGCGGATGCTCCCGTGCCCACAGTCGCATGAGGTCGTAGACGACGTGGTTCGGGGCATCCGTTTTTATGGCCTCTGGCTCGCGATGGAAGTGAGACACGCGGTAACCGAGAGCCCCTAGTGTGCCACGGATCAGCCTCATGGGGATCGGGTTCAACTTCAGGCTCTTGCAGAGCTGCGGCACCCTGTAGTACAGGGGTATGTCCGCGTGCTCCTCCGAGATCGCGGTCAGCAGCCCAGCGACCTTTTTCCAGGACGTCACGCCAGGGAACTGCTCTGGGTGCTCGCAGAGCTCGAGACAGGACTGCACAAACTCCTCGTCGTGCAGCCTGCCGATGTGGAAGGGGCCGCCAATCTCGAAGCGCCCACCACACTCTGGGCACTCGGGCCCCGGCGACACGAGGTGTGCTGGCCTGAACTTGGTCTGGCCGTCCTTCGGGCCCTCGGCGGCTTCCCCGAGAGGCTGCACGAAAAAGCTGTCGCACTGGACGCACTGGCTCACCGTGCCTTTGTCCTCCTCCTCCTCCTCCTCCTCCTCCTCCTCCTCCTCCTCCACCTCCTCCTCCCCTCCCTCCTCCTCCATCCTCTCCTCCTCCTCCTTGTCACTCGTCCTCCTCCCTCCTCCTCCTCCTCACTCCAGCTCCTCCTCATCCTCTTCCCTCCTCCCCTCCTCCTCCTCCTCCTTCCTCCTCCTCCTCATCATCATCATCATATCTCATCATCATCATCATCATCTCATCAGCGATCATCATCATCATCATCATCATCATCATCATCATCAGCATCAGCATCGCATCACACCGCATCAGCATCATCATCATCATCATCATCATCATCATCATCGTCATCGTCAGCGTCATCGTCCATCATCAAAATCATCATCCTCATCTCATCCTCTCATCATCATCATCCATCATCATCACATCAGCTCATCATCCTCTCATCCTACCCCATCCTCACCTCAATCCTCATCCTCATGCCTCATCCTGATCATCATCAACATCATCCATCATCATCATCAGGCATCATCATCATCAATCATCATCATCAATTCATCATATCATCATCATCAGCCGCCTCCTCATCCTCCTCCTCCTCCTCCTCTTGCACCCTCCTCCTCCCCTCCTCCTCCTCCCTCCTCCTCCTCTCCGCCTCCGCCTCCTCATCCCCTCCCTCACCCCCCCTTCTTCCTACCCCTGCTTCCGCCCCCCCTTCATCCTCCTCCTCCATCCTCCTCCTCCTCCTCCTCCTCCTCCTCCTCCTTCCTCCTCCTCTCCTCTCCTCCTCCTACTCCTCCTCCTCCTCCCTCCTCCTCGTCATCATCATCATCATCATCATCATCATCATCATCATCATCATCATCATCATCATCATCAGCATCATCATCATCATTAATCATCATCAGCAGCAGCAGCAGCAGCAGCAGCATCAGCAGCAGCATCATCATGATCATCATCATCAGCAGCAGCATCAGCATAACCATCATCATCATAATCATCATCATCAGCATCATCATCATTATCAGCAGCATCCTCATCATCAGCAGCATCATCAGCATCATCCTCATCATCATCATCATCATCATCATCATCATCAGCAGCATCATCATCAAAAGCATCATCATCATCATTGGCAGCAGCAGCTTCATCTTCGAAATCCCCCATCCTCCGTCTTCCTCCTTCTCCTTCTCATCCTCCCCCTCCGCCTCCCCCTCCTCCTCCTCCTCCTCCTCCTCCTCCTCCTCCTCCTCCTCCTCCTCCTCTTTCACCGTCGCCCTCCTTTTTCTCATCCGTCGTCGTCTCAAGCTTCCTGACTCAGGACTGGGCCAGCCTCCCTGGGCTGTACTAATCATGTGTGCTCGATTGAAGGCCTCGACAGAGGCTCAAAACCATCCCATGAAGCACTGCGACGGCGAAGGCAACACCACTGGCAGGCGGATTCGCCAGAAGCGCGGGTGCAAGCGCACTGTGGCCTTCTGGTGCAAGTGCAAAAAGGGCCGCGCCCCTCGCCGGGGCATCAACAGCTCGAAGCTTCGCCCGCCAGGGGGACAGTGCCCGAAAGGACCTCCTCCGCCGCCGTGGGCACAGGACGACTGGTGGTGATGGGGAACTTGGGACTGGGAGCCAGCTTCGGGGCACTGGGCGCGAGGATGGTGCTCTTCCCACTGCTCTGCCTGCTCTGCCTGGTCCGCAGCTCCTCGCCCCCGGTGTGGGAGGCCCACGGCCTACTCTCCCCTCGACATCGGCGGGTCGGCCGCCCCCCCGGGAGGCCGAGCGTGTCCTGGGGGGAAGGCCGCCCTGCCGGCGTCTCGGTGGGAGGGCGACTTGGCCGAGGGCCCTCTCCCTCGCCTGCGTTTCGCGCTGCTGGCTGGGCGCCCACGGCCACTGGACTGTCCATCTGGCTGAAAGGGATAGGAAGCCATTTGCAGCGACTTGGCCGAGGGCCCCTCCCTCGCCTGCGTTTCGCGCTGCTGGCTGGGCGCCCACAGCCACTGGACTGTCAATCTTAGGGAATCGAACAGTATACACCGACGCATTTTCCGGCCCTGCATGTAAATTTGCACTGGGGAGCGGATACTGGTGTATACGGGACCCTGGTGTATACATTTTTCGCTGTTTCCCCGGGACATCGGAGAAAAAGTTCAAGTTTTCGACATCTGGGTTGAAGGGGATAGGAAATCATGTGCAGCGACTTGGCCGAGGATCCCTCCATCACCTGCCTTTCGCGCTGCTGGCTGAGCGCCCACTGCCGGTGGGCTGACCATCTGGGTTAAAACGACATAGAAAGCCATACGACGCAAGCAGCAGCAACTCCTTCGTCGACGTCCTCCGTCGCCGCCGTCCCAGAGGAGCCCCCTCCGCGCCCCGGGAGGAGCCTGTCCGGGCCGCGGTGTGCTTGGCACGGGCCGCGGCGCTGGACACCTGCACGAAGATGCGGACGTAGAAGTCCAGCGAGCAGCAGACCAGCGGGCGGGCCTCCCGGCCGTACCGCGCCGCGGCGGCGACCACGGCGTGCAGCAGCAGGCGCAGGGCCATCTCGTGCAGGTAGCCCCGCTTCAGGGCGGTGCCCCCGTACCTCACGAAGCAGGTCTCGGGCGTGTTCCCGCCGAGGACCCGCATGTCCGTCGAGGTGATGCACAGCAGCCCGCCGTCCGCCACGGCCTGCACGGCCGAGTCCAGGAAGGGCACCGCGGTGCCGTAGGGGTCCAGGTCGATGACGTCGTACGCGCTCGCTCCCGCGCCCCGCGGCCCGCACGCGCGGCGCGCGTACATGTGCAAGGCCGCGTCCTCGCAGGACACCTCAACCCTGCCGGCCGGGATGCCGTTGTGCGCGACGTTCCTCGCGATGGCGGCAGCCGCGGCGGTGTCCAGGTCGTTGGCCACGATCCTGTGGACACCTCGGCACGAGGGAAGCGGGCCCTTGGAGGCAACGGGTCCTGGGCCCCGGGGCTTGCCCCGAAAACCAGCTGGTCCTCCCGAGTCTTCTGCGTCGGCCGCCCCGCGGCCGGGGCAGACCCTGGGAGTCCGAAGGCGGCGAGAAAAACTCCAGCGACCCTGGCCTCCAGGACGCAGGACCCCCCTGTTCACGAGCGACGAACATACCCATGTCCGTGCCCTCGCGCGACTAGACAGGCACGCGATTGCCATGGGTGCGTTCCGCGCGGGGCAGCCGCGCAAAGCCGCCCTGTACCCATGGAGCCCGGCTGCGGCCAAGGGGCCTGTACCGCGAAGCCGTGTATATCTGTATGTCTGTATGTACGTACGCACGTACGAACGTACGAATGTATGTATGTATGTATGTATGTATGTATGTATGTATGTATGCATGCATGTATGTATGTATGTATGTATGTATGTATGTATGTATGTATGTATGTATGTATGTATGTATGTATGTATGTATGAGTTGATGTATGTATGTATGTATGTCTGTATGTGTGGATGTATGCATGTATGTGTGTATGTGTGTATGTATGTGTGTATGTATGTATGTATGTATGTATGTATGTATACATGACTGCATGCATGTATGTATGCATGCATGTAGATATACATGCATACATACATACATGTGTACAAGCATACATCCATACATACATGCATGCATATATGCATACGTGCATGCAGATACACACATATCTATATGGGCATGCATGCATGCATACATACATACATATATACACGCATACATGCATACATGCGTGCATACACGCATACACGCATCCATATATACATAAACATACATATATATACAAACATACACGCATGCAGGCATACAAACAAACAGATATGCATGCATGTATGTATACCTGCATGTATGCATGAATGTATACACGTATGCATGCATACAGGCAGTCATATATACAGATGTAGATAAATACATACATGCATGCATACATGCATATATGCATGCATGCATATATACATGCGTGCATGTCTGAATGCATACATGCACACCGACATACAAGCACACATGCATACGCGCATATATGTATACACACATACATATGTGCACGCATGCATGCTGCATACATACATACATGCATGCATGCGTGCACGCATACATACATACATGCATACAGACATGCATACCTACATGCATACATGCATACATGCATGCATACCCATAGAAGTCTACATACATGTATGCATGCATGCAAACATGCATACATATATACATACGTGCATACATGCACGCATACCTAAAGTAACATGTGATATCATAACATATCATATCAGAACAGTGCATGTCATTACATTGCATTCCAGTACAATGCGTATCAGACATACAAACATAAATGCATACATACATACATACATACATACGTACATACCTACATACAAACAGACAGACAGGCAGACAGACAGGCAAACGTTTCCCACCAACGGTGCTCAGGGAAAAAGCATAGAAAGTGCATGTCATGACGATTGGAGACTCCTGGACATCTGCGGACAAGAGGGCGAGAACAGGAGGATGAGGAGGAGGAGGAGAAGAAGCAGGAGAAGCAGGAGGAGAAGCAGGAGAAGCAGGAGGAGGAGGAGGAAGGAGGAGCAGGAGGAGGAGGGGGAGGAGGAGGGTGGAGGGGAGAAAGAGGAGGAGGGAGAGGATGAGGAGGAGGGAGGAGAGGAGGAGGAGGAGAAGGAGAAAGAGACGAGATGGGGGGGGAGTAGAGGAGGAGGAAGGAGGGTAGGAATGGAAGGAGGAGGAGGAGGAGGAGGAGGAGGAGGAGGACGAGGAGGACGAGGAGGAGAAGGTGAAGGAGGAGGAGGAGGAAGAAGGAGGAAGGAGGAGGACGAACACCGTCGGCCCCGTCGCCAAACTCGCGGGCGTAGCGGATGGACCGGATGCCCGTGGCGGACAGGGCGTCCAGGACGAGCAGGCCGCGCGGGGGCGCCGCCGAGCCCGCCCGCCGCTCGGAGGGCCCAGCAGCCCGGCGCCTCGCGAAGGCCGCCAGGACCAGCACCGAGAGATCGCGGTTGAAGACCTGCGCGGGACTAGTCAATATATCGAACCGGCCGCTCGGATCGGCTCGGAGTGCGAGCCGGATATCGCGCCGCGTCGGCACCGAGTCGGAAGCGGACCGCATGGGCCGCGCAGGGAGGCGCAGCGGCGCCGTGCACGACGTCGGGCCGAAGCGGGTCGAGAGGGCAGCGGAATCGAATCGGATCGGGCCGGCCGGAGTCGGCATCGAAGCGGATCGAGCGGAGCGAAAGGGGCCCGGCCTGCGCCGGGTTGTAGAACACGTCCGCGGGCGCCTCCGCGCAGAAGGCGCCCACGGCAGGCTCCGTGCCACGGCGGTCGGCGTCGGCTGCTGGTGGGCGCGGGTCGCCAGAAAGCTCGAGCGATCGCGGTTTTCCGACGGCGCGGATCGCTCGATGTCGGCCGATGCTGGTCTCGAGCGCCCGCGCCGAGGTCGCCGCCACGTCGGCGCGACACAGACCTGCCGCGTGCACCACCACCGTTTAGGTCGGGCATGTCCTCCCACAGGCGGACTGCTTAAAAAAACAGCATTGAAAAAATCTCTCTTTCACACACACACACACACACCAAAAACAAAAAAAGTCCCCATGTTAGCTGTTGGCTATGTTTGAACATTCCTCCTGTAGAGGGACATGCCCGCCTTAACCCTGGCCAGGTGGTTGTGGGTGCCTCCTGCGGAGCCTCCTCTGCCGCGCGGCCGCCCGGCGCCAGGACCTCGGCGAGGCCCTCGCGGACGGTCGTGCGCGGAGCCTCCTCCAACAGGAGGCCGAACGGCATGTGGCGACTTCTCTCCTCCTCCTCCTCCTCCTCCTCCTCCTCCTCCTCCTCCTCCTCCCTCCTCCTCCGTCCTCCTCGCCTCCGCTCCTGCCTCCACTCCTCCTCCTCCTCCTCCGCCTCCTCCTCCTCCTCTCCTCCTCCTCCTCCCTCCTCCTCCTCCGGCCTTCCTCCTCCTCCTCCTCCTCCTCCTCCTCCTCCTCTCCTCCCCTCCTCCATCCTCCTCCTCCTCTCGCCTCCTCCTCCTCCTCATCCTCCTCCTCCGCTCCTCCTCCTTCCTCCCTCCCTCCTACTCTCTCCTCCTCCTCCTCCTCCTCCTCCTCCTCCTCTTCCTCCGCCTCCTCCTCCTCCTCCTCCGCGCTCCTTTCTCCTCCTCCTCCTCCTCCTCCTCCTCCTCCTCCTCCTCCTCCCTCCTCTTGCCTCCTCCTCCTCCTCCTCCTCCTCCTCCTCCTCTCCTCTCTCCTCCTGCTCCTCCTCTCCTCCTGCCCTCCTGCTCCTTCTCTCCTCCTCCTCCTCCTCCTCCTCCTCCTCCTTCCTCCGCCTCCTCTGCCCCCTCCGTCGCCGCCTCCTCCTCCATCCTCCTCCTCCTCCTCCCTCCTCCTCTTCCTCCCTCCTCCTCCCTCTTATTCGTCTGCTAGTATTAGTAATTAATTATTTTTTTTTTTTTTTTTTTTTTTTTTGTTTTTGTGGGGAGGAGGGGGGGATTTTTTTTTTTTTTTTTTTTTTTTTTTTTTTTTTTTTTGGGGTTTTTTTTTTATTAATATTATTATGATTATTATTATTAGTATTATTATTAATATTAGTAGTAGTAGTAGTAGTAGTATTATTATTAGTATTATTATTGTTATTATTATTATTAGTAGTAGTATTATTAGTGTTATTATTATTACTACTACTATTATTATCATTAGTATTCGTATTATTATGTTTCGTTTTCTTAGTATGCTTATTATTAGTAGGATTGCTCTTGTTATTCTTCTTATGTGTATTATTCTTAGTCTTATTAGTATTATGAATCGTATTGTTCGTCTTCTTCTTAGTATTAGTAGTGTTCCTCTTCTTCTTCGTCGTATTATTATTCGTATTAGTATTCTTATTATTCGTAGTATGATTATTCTTCTTAGTATTAGTTTTCTTATTAGTCCTACTACTCTTATTAATAGTAGTATTAGTATTATTATTATTCATATTATTATTATTCGTACGATTGATAGTATTATTCTTAGTATGCGTATTCTTACTCTTCGTATTATCATTATTCTTCGTCTTCT